TGCTAGGTCCCTCTATTTTAACTTTCGTGAGTGATTTACCTGAAAGCCAGTGTTCTCGAAGACAATTCAGACATAGTAACAGGCTACGTGAAATCAAGTGTAGGGCAGAACGCTACAGAAAAGGTGCTTTACCCTATCTGGTAAGGCTTTTGAACCAGCCATGATGTGGCAACCGGTTTGTTTCACATTGTTGATAGCATAATATTGCCAAATTTTGTGCATTACATATTTTTTTTCTTCAAAACTTCAATTTCTGTATCAAGATCAAATCTTTCTTTATATGAATTATTTGCCAGTTATCTAATACCTCTTTTAAATCACAATGTATTCAGTATAATTCATTTTCAAATTGCAATCTTTGCCTGAACACATCTTCAATTTGCCAAATCTTAATTCATTATATTTCAGGTTCAATTAACTATCTTTGATTAAACAAATATATTATTGCTAAACGTAGAAACATAATGTAAATATTTTCAATACGCTTTACCTCAATTTATCATTTTTATTATCTTTACTCTTGGTATTGTACACTGTCTATGTCATGATTATTATGTTTAATTGCCTCTGGTTGCTCGCTATTTTATCTTAACACTATTAGTTTACTCAGGTCTGTAATTACTCCTTTTGAACTTTGCTGCTCTTCTATATCCGCCTGTATTTTAATTTTTTATAAGAGGTTGTTATTATACTACAGGCGTATCTTAATGTTCCTACTACCATCTGCGTTAAAATACATTTTTATATAACTTACAAAACATTTTTAGGTGCGCCATACAATGTTTACAATGTATTTTTTGTTCATCTCATTAATACTATTCGTTAATTTGCAATGCATACTTTTATCTTGTTATTGTCAATTCGTATGTAGTGTTTAATTGTTGGCAAGATCCCCCTTTATCTCTCTACCTTCTTTACCTCTTGTCGCTCGCTTGCTCTCTCTCTCTCTCTCTCTCTCTCTCTCTCTTTCTTCCTCTTTATCTCTCTCTTTCTCTCTCTCCTTCCTCTCTCTCCTTTTTTCTCTTTCTCCATCTTTCTATCTTTCCTGCTCTTTCTCTTTCTTCGCTATATCTCTCGGTCTCTTATCCTCTCTTTCTCCTTTTCTCACTTTCCTTCCCTCTCTACCCCTCCTCTTCCACCTTCTCTCTCTCTCTCTCTCTCTCTCTCTCTATTTCTCTTTCCTTTTTTAATCTCTTTACTCTACATCTTTCCCTTCTCTCTTCCTCACTTTGAATTCAAATTTTATTTAGGTACATATTCCCCTTTCCCTTCTTGTTCGTATTTTAAATTTGATACAAAATTTAGGCTAAGCATGTCACATATACGTGTACTTATAATTATGTAAATGATACTGTTTTCAATTGTACACTCGTTTTTAAAATGCAATGTATATCCATGTGCAATTCAGTATATGTAACTGCGATGCATGATTCAATTAATACCATACCATACCATACTGCCATAGCAACAAAAAAACTCAACCTAGCTGGAAAGGAAACCAATTGTAATGTGCACGGATGTTAAGATCGCATAATCCCATATAGCGAATTGACCGTCTGGCATGTCCTAAGTGGTGGATGTGGCCAGGGGAAGGCCCCGAAGTGGTCAACAATTTGAGGTAGATCAGCTGGAAAGGAAACCCTATGAAACCCATATATGAGAAGATTCGCCGTAGTCTCGAGGTACATAAATGGACAATGCTAGACGATTTAAGTTGGGGAGGTGCCCGCCAGACGCCCCCTAATTGGTCAAAAAATTGAGCTAGATCAGCTGGAAAGGAAACCCCATGAAACCAATAGGAAATTGTTCGGCAGAGTCCACAGATACATGACCACTGCCAGACGATTTAAGTGGTGGGGAGTGCCTGCCAGACGCCCCGAAAGTACCCCAATCCCCGAATTGAACTAGATCAGCTGGAAAGGAAACCCAATGAAATCCATATGAGAAGATTCGCTGTAGTCTCGAGGTACATGAATGGACAATGCTAGACATTTTAAGTGATGGAAGGTGCCCGCCAGACGCCCCCAAAGAGGTCAAAAATTGGAGTTAGATCAGCTGGAAAGGAAACCCCATGAAGCTAATTGCATATGCGATATTTACATCCGTGCACATGAAAATTGGTGACCTCTCTAGCTAGGTTGACCCCCCCCCCCCTGGCTCCCAGACTATTTCGTTGACGATCAGCCATGCATGAAGTCTTTCGTCTTCTTTGTTGTTAGGGCAGACAGCCATCTTTCTGCAAATGTGGCCTTTGAAATTCAGATACCGTTCGCCAAATGACTTTTTGGTAACTTTTATTTAAATTGAGGGTTTTTAATCACTCATACGTGGAATGTGCATCATATGCGTTGCATCAAAGGAGAGAAGAGGATCTAAACTTTAAAAACAAGTGTCATTTATTAATTATAATTTTGATTAAGTTATGATAAAACATCAATAATTCTCGGTTTCGTTTTTTCCTGGGACGCACTGTACAATCGCAAACAGCTATGCATTTTTTCGACCATCCTTATTATATGTTTAATGCTGATTATCACTCTAGTTGTTCGACTGTTTGTCGACCTCTGACAAACAAACACGACGGCCACCAACACATACTGCCATTGTAAGCAAGATCAAATTTTACTTGTATTATTAAACCTGTATTCAATGTTGATCCTCCCACACTTAAAGTACGGAATAGCATGGGGCAATGGTGCTGGATATCATTTTGAATATAATTTCATTACTTTAGAAAAAAGCGCTGTGTGTTAAGTGTCGTTCTGATTTTCGAGCGCACACAGATGCATTTTTCCACACACACAGTATTCGAAATATAACAAATTCATACAGTTATTAGCTGGGAATATTTATGTATAATTTAAATAGAAATGGTCTGCCGGGCTTTTTCATCAACCAAAAACAAGAAATTTGCTCTCAATGAATCCTGTGATTGTTCAGGCTCAAAACTTTGGAACTCTCTTTCAGATCCAGTTAGAGATAAACCCACATATTATAGTTTTAGCAGCGGGTTCAAAAATAATTTAATACAAAATTAACGTCCCCTACGTGTTGAACTTGTAGGATATGGGAATACCTCTCAAATCTCTCCTGTTTCTCTCTCTCTCTCTCTCTCCTTCTTATTTCTGTAGTGTGCGGCTTTGTTTTGTTTGTCTTGTCCTGTCCTGTCATGTCTTGTTTTATCTTGTCCTGTTATGATTTTTTTTCATGTCCTGTCTCATCTTAATAATTATGTCAGTTTCCTGTCCTTTGTTATTCTGTTCGATCGTATATTTCGATTATTTAGATACTTTAAAATGGTTTATGAAAATACGTTATGTCGGATCCATATACAAGCAACAGAAGCATACGTTAAATGTATCAGTGAACAGATTAGACTATATATAACTTTTGGACTGAGATTTAGTGTTTTTACCAGGCTGCGCCAACATGACAAAATTAGTTTATTTTTTACATATAAAGCACCACATGATAGCATGATACAATTGCAAAATCAAGAACAACTAGACTTGAATTCGTCACTTAGACGAATTAGGTGATACGTATGCTAATGGTTTACATAACGAAGAATGCATTACACGATATCATATTATTTTATAAAGTGCTTTTCCCATTATGATCTATCCATATTTCAAGTTTAAATTGTGTCCCCTTGATCATTATGGATCTAGGGAAGATAGATTAAAACAATATATGACCATTGACCCTGTGCAGTAATCAGTTACACCTTTCACTATAATTTACAACATGAAGAACACATTTTGACAAGTTTATCTTATTCAAAGAAATGAAAATGTAATTGATAAATGATTATCATCATTATGATAATGATGATGATCATGATCATGAGCGTGATCCTGACATCTTATTGAAAAAATGAGGGGTGATTTGGATAGCATATAGTCTCAGCATACTCAAAAATTAACAAAATCCAAGCAGAAATAACGGCGATATTGCTCGCAAAAGACAGGAATGTAGAAACCAGATTTGAGAAAAAGGTCATCTCCCATAGGAATGACACGCAAAAAGTAATGGATTAAGTGTAAATAGGCGTATAATAAAGTAAATAGGGTTGTTTATTACATTATTTGCAATTATACGTGTTTTAATAATCAAAGGAGATGGTAAAGTGAAAGGTCACAAAGAAAAAAAAAGTGAAGAAAAAAATTGTTGGAGACACCCGGACTCAAACCAGGGATCTCAAGGTTGGAAGTCAAGTGCGTTACCGATATACTAAAACATTTCCCAAAGCGATTACACGTAAACGGGAAAAGGAATTCTCAAATCCTACTTTGCAAGTGAAATATGAGCATGATCCCGGCATCTGATCGAAAAATAAAGGGCACATTTGTGATAGCTTATTGTCTCAGCTACAACATACTGGAAGCTCAGCGAAAACGAAGCTAAAACAATGGAGAAATTGCTCGCGAAAGACAGGAATGTAGAATCCAGTTTTGAGAAAAAGTCATGTCCCATAGAGAATACACGCAAAATGTGAAATATTGACATGCCTCCTTTAATCGCAAAAATACGCCATGATGCCTTTGTCAAAATGAAAAATCATGACAAATGTATTTGTAGAAAATTGTCTCAGCTAGAACATATCAAAATTTGGAAGAAAATCGATCAATATTTACAGAGACACAATATATGACACAAAAAACTGTGTATATTATATATAAACAGGTATAAAAGTTCCCTTCCTTTTTCTTCTTTTCTTTCGATGCAAAAGTTTCAAACAAATTGAATTTGTGTCAAGCAATATAAGCAACAATATCATGTTTAAACTTGAAGAAAAGAAGAAAAACAAAACGTCCTGGTTGTTGATGTTCGGCGGGCGTTTGGAGTTGAATGGGTAACTTATAATTGTACATGATTCGTAGATCAATTTTTCTCAACCAAATAATAGTCGGCAACCACGAGGATCAGTCGGCATGCACTCAGTCAGTCCATAGATATAGATATATGATCTATTATTCAATCATTTTGTTCTTCCGTAGGAGATCTCACGAACTAACTTGATCACGTTCTCTAAACATGAGAGACCACGTCGTAGCATAGCTACAATGCACCTGGTATCAAGCAGTGGACCAACGCATCCAAATCATACAACCGTTTCTCTTTTATCAATTGTTCGTGGATTCGAGGTAATTCCATTGCCACCTAAGACTGAAGATGCAACGGGACTTACAGTGATGGTAGGGGACAAACTGAAGTTTAGTTTAGAGGCTCGAGATTCCATGGGACGGCTAAAGATACTCGGTGGAGACTACTGGTTTGCCATCATGGAGGATCCAAATAAAAACGGTACATTAGCATGTGATCAGTAGCTAGCATTTATTTTTACCTTTTTTTTAGTACTGCATGATCAGAATATGTCAATTTAAAAGAAATTTCAGTAATTCTTAAAGGCTTATTATTTAATAGAAAGGGAAATGATATAGTATGCGGTTTAAAAAGCACAAAAAGGAAACGCTCCATACACAGATAATATATGGGACACACAGACGTGTTTAGTTTGTGTTTCAACTAAATTTGATCCAGCAATATTTGAAATAAGATGGCATTTTTAGAGGAATTCTTTTGGAAAGACATTGCTTACCGTTTACTGGTACAAATGAGAGTGATAAGAATGAGAAAACTATCAATTTTGTTTAAGTTTACGAGAATGCAATTTTCTCATCGTGAATCAGGCTATAAACTACACTTAAGTGTCGAATTCTTTCTCAAATCTTCCCCTGTATGCTGATTTTTTGTAAAGTTGTGGCTTGAGGAATTGTGATAAAATCTATTAAAGTAGCCTTTCTATAAAAATGTAACTATATATCAATAGAAAGCTAATGACCTCAGGACTTGGAAAACATTAGCTCAGATTTAATGAATACTTTATCAAGTCGTAAATATAAAAACAAAAACCGGATTTTTCATTATTCCTTTTTTCTTGCAAATCAAACAAATAAAACGCCCAAAATAATGTGACGTAGGCGATTGTAGCATGTCCCCAAATCATAAACAAATGTGTGGGTCCTGGAAAAGATTGGAACAGACTTGACCATCAGAAGGGGAATCATGGAAAGAAAACTAAATTATTTTGGGCACATCGTTAGGAGATCTGGAGGTGTTGAGACGCAAATACTGCAAGGAGCAGTCGAAGGAAAACGGGGTAGAGGTCGTCCACCAATATCTTGGACTGATGATATCAAGAAAGTGTCTGGACAAGGAATGAAAGGTGCAACACAAATTGCAGATGAAAGAGTTGCATGGCGTGCTCTCGTGAAGACCACAGCAGCGCTTTACAGCGCCACCTGAAGTTGATAATAGCGAGTTTTCGCTCAGCAACATACAGACCTTCGCGGACGCAGAGCACTCAGGTTTACGGTCGTCGCACACAGTCCGACCTCGATACAATACGTGTTTCGCTTTTCGGTGAATGCGTACGGATCTCTACGGAGGTATTGCATTTGCAATGCCATTAGGCAATTATCGTAATGTAACCAAATTTAATGCATACGTCTTTGTGAAGTGCCTCGATACAAAATATTTCTTTCACCTGATAAGGATAGTAGTATTTCAATAGACATAATCCAAACTGCATACATTAGTTGTTGCCAGTCCGACAAACATTAGGGATATTTAGCAAGCTCATTGCGGACAGAGAATCTGCGGTTCGTGTGCAAAATCGAGAAGCTACTATAGTAACAGCAGGGTGATCGCTGAGGTACTGAAATCCAGAACGGGTTTTGGCCAAATCTACGGGCGTTCTCAATGACGCCCCAAGTGAATAACAGCCAATCAGCGAGCTTGTACCAAAGATGGTTATGAGAATTTCGTCGTCTAATAACGAAGGATGACGAATTTTAACGGGCGGATCTAGTTTCTTTTCTATGGCGTGGGAGGGGGGGGGGGGGGGGGGGGTTGACATTTGAAAAATCGCGCCGACCAATATTTCGCTTAGTCGGGGGTAGGGAGCACTAAAATCTGTTTTCAATTTGAAAAAAGTGCCATCCAATATTTCGGGGGGGGGGGGGGGGGGTAGAAAGCAACTTGGCCAGCCCAAGGGGGATTTATAAACCTCCTAACCCCCCTAGATCCGCCCCTGACACGAATGACTCTTCGGTGAGTTTTTTTTCTTCCGATTATTGTTTCTGAACAATAACAACATGAATATGGATATAACATAATTGTTTTAAAACTTGATGATAAATTATTGTTGAAATTTGATAAAAAGCCGTTTTGTGGCTTGGTCGAGACAAGTTGTGCTAGTCGTGTAGTCCCGTCTGTACTGTATTGCGTGGAAGGGAACAGGCCATTTTTGTAATGTAATCAAATTTAATGCATACGTCTATGTGAAGTTCCTCAATACATTTGGCCAAAACCCGTTCTAGAGTTTAGGGCCTCAGCGGTCATCCAACTGTTACTATAGTATCTTCTCGATTTTGCACACGAACCGCAGATTCTAATTCCGCAATGAGTTTGCGAAAATTGCCTAATGACGAACAGGCGCGTACGGAGGGGGAGGGGGGGGGGTGGCGGTTGAAACCCCCCCTTGGTATTTTGTTATGTGTGTGTTTTGGAGGAAACCCCACCCCCTCCCCCTTTGGTAATTTTTTTAAATTTTTTTTTTACCTTACCCCCCCCCCAAATGAACAGAATGTCAAATTTTCAAATTACGAGACCCCCCCCCCCCAAAAAAAAAAAAAAAAAAAAAAAAAATCTGCGCGATTTAAAAATTGTTAACCCCCCCCCCCTTTAAAAAATCCTGTGTACGCGGCTGATGACGAACGTTTTGCTTTATACTTCTCTCACATTAACGTTGCCGAGGAATCGTGTAGATGAATATGCAAGAATATAATAAATCTTTCAGAATAACGTAAGTTATTTCTTGGGGGGTGTGGTTTCCTTTAATACACGGCAGTGCTGATCTGATTTCAATAGTTTCAGCTACCTTGACAGATCTACACCTTTTACCCTGCCGGTCTCGGTTCACCGAGTTGACTTGAATTTTAGTTCGGCCCGTAATATATCCGGCCCGCAATTTACTCAGATCGGCAGGTCTTCCGGGCTACACCATGATAGACTACATTTACATCTCTGAATGTTTGACATTCCCTCCTTTCCTGTCCTACGGCTTTTTTTTCTTTTGTCATCTTAACTAATCTTTCTCGTTTGTTTCCAGCATCTACTGTTGGGCGAATAGTTGACCATGAGAATGGTCTATACACCTTACTTTTTGTTGCTGGGTGGAGTGGGATGATTAGACTTCGTATCACACTTGTACATCCCGCTGAATTAGCCAAGTGGATCAGAACTGAATACCTGTAAGTCTTTCCCTAAAGGGAACCTCACCTTAAACAATAAGTGTAGTTATGCTCTATCGATCTAAAATATTGCTTAAAGGCATCGTTTAACAATGTTTCCAGTTCTAAAAATCTGAGATGCATGGCCCTACGTGTTATCAGTGTCTGTGATATGGTGTAATATTGAAGCCCTAAAAAATGATCATGAAGTGCCTCAAAAAAGTAAAAATCTTTGAGTTACCGAATTTTACCATACTCATTTTCCCCAATAGACTGTAGTATTATTAAAAAAAAAACGTTAGGTAAACGGTTTTTGAAATTTCGAAATCATAAATATTTTGTTGATCAGACAGGCGATCGGCTTGTAAACGTCATGCATGGCTGGAATGCTGCCCAATGAGTGGAGATTGTGCACACAGTGTGTGCAGGCAAGCACTGAATTCAATGACCGGGTTTCTGCATGTAAAGCGCTTCGGGACGTCGGAGATGTATTAAGTGCTATATAAAAGCTGAATATTACATTATTATCACAATCTGGAAAGATTTCCATTATATGATACATTTCATAATTGTATAACAGCCATAGCATGAGAGCTCCTAGCTGGTCAGGACTTTTCAAATTTGGAGAGCACGAAGAACGATCACCGTGTTCCCTCAGCCTCGACGCCATTTGGAGTGAGAAGTGTGTAGCCAACCCTAAAGCTCTACAGTACGCCATCATAGTATGCAATCCACCGAAGACCCTTCCATGCGATTCACTAGTGGGCCTTTATGCGCACACATCTCTCTACACACAGGACTTCAAGAAACGTTTACCATCAGACCGCAAGAAATATCTTAAGAGGTAAGCTGATATTGACATTTTGTCAAGATAATATGCAGGGGTGGGGGCCTTTTCAGCCATTTTTGATTCACTGCACTCCGCATGATGTCTCCAAATACCTCTGTTCAGCGCCTGTTGATGCCAATAAGTCTTTCCCCAGTTTTTCTTTGACGTCCCTGTTTTGTTTTCCCTCATATGGTGTCCAGTGAGTGATTGCTGAACTCCAGCGATCAACATTCCTGCAGCTGATGTGTCCCGCCCAATTCCATTTCCTTCTTTTCACTGTTTCAAGGATGTCCTGGACTTTTGTCCGTTCCCTGATCCATTTGTTCGTTTTTCTGTCTTTGTATGTGATGCTTAGAATACTTCTTTCCATGTTGTGTTGAGATGCTGCTAGTTTTCTTTCCATTTTTGATGTTAGTGTCCATATTTCTGCAGCGTATGAGATTGCTGTGATGATGCACTGGTGATATACTTTCTTTTTCAGGCATAATGGAAGTTTGCCTTTCATGATGGTGCTGTATCCTTCTTCTTATTTCGTTATCTTGATTTTTGACTTGTAGAGAGAAACGTTGCCCTAAGTAGATATACTCCTCTACTTGCTCCATTTTGGTACCGTTCACTTAATTTTGTTTTGGATCTTGGCTGATCCTGCCATGACTTTAGTCTTCTTCATGTTCATTTGAGACCTGTTAGTCGGCTTGCATCGTCCAGTTCTTGCAGCATTCTTTCGAGGTCGTTTAAGTTGTCAGATACGATGACAATATCGTCTGCAAATCTTCAGTGGCTCATGTTTTCCCCGTTTATGTTGATTCCCTTTGATGACCAGTCTAATGTTTTGAAGATGCTCTCTAGGCAAGCAGTGAAGAATTTTGGTGAGCCGGTGTCTCCCTGTCGAACTCCCTTTCTTATAATGATTTTGTTGCTGGCCTTGTGCATTCTGAAGTGTTGTAGCAGTCTGAATAAATGTCTTTGGATTTTGATGTATGCATCGTTGATTCCTTGGTCTTGAAGTGCCTTGAGTATTGCAAAGGTTTCGACGGAATCAAATGCCTTTTCGTAGTCTACGAATGCTACGCATTGAGGTTGTATTCTTGGCATTTTTCTTTCGGTTGATTAATGGTGTGGATGCGGTCCATAGTTGAGAAACCCCTTCTGAAGCCTGCCTGCTCCCTAATTGGTTGGTTGTTACCAAGGATTTTCTCTAGCCGGTTGGTGATGATTTTTGTATACAGCTTATACAGGTTTGAGAGGAGGCTGATGGGTCTGTAGTTCTTTAGATCTCGCTTGTCACCCTTTTTGTGCAGAATTATTATTGTGGCTTCTCTCCATTGATGTGGTACCTTCCCCGTTTGCATACATGCATTGTAAAGTTTGGCTAGTTCCTCAGTTGTTATGTCTCCTCCTTCTTTGATTATGTTTATGAGTATGTTGTCTGGGTCTGGTGACTTCCCTCTCTTCATTTGATTTATTGCATGTTGAACCTACCAATCAGTTACAACTGGGAACTCTTCTTGTGGTTCTCCTGGATCTTCTGTCTCATTATTGCTGGTGTATAGGTGTTCGTAAAATTCTTCAATTCTTTGAAGTATGTGCTAGTTTCTTGTAAGTTTTCTGCAGGCTTCTGTTTTCCTCAATTGTAGATTTGATCATTGTTGTGTTGTAACTACGGATGTCTTCACGTAGCTTTTTCCTTACTGTTTTGCAGGTTTCTACGTATTCTACATTTCGGATGCCTATGCTTACTGCTCTCTTGTTCCTTCTTTTTTTCCAATGAGTTTTCTGGTAGATTCTGATATCTTGTTTTCACGGGTTTTTGGTTTTTTCCCTGCGATCTTTATGGCGGTTTCTTGGTTTTTTTTTCCACTAGCCGATCAGTCCATCCCCAACATCCCCAAACAAATAGGAACCGAAAAGAGAACGTGAAGAGAATGCGCTGTACCATTATTTTTAAAGCTTGGAGAAAAAATGCAAAGTAATCTCTATAAGAATGTTTTTATGATAATTATCACCGTTTGTATCCCTCTATGAATATTCATGAGTTGTCTAAACACATGATTGATCAATTGGTGGTCACGTGATAAAATATAATTTCACTATGAAAAACAAATTTCTGCCAGAGCTCCGAATAGTTTTCATTATATTTTTGATCAATGAAATCCTGTTCAGTGATTGGTCAACAAAGCATCATGTGCCCAAACATAACTTTGCTATGATATAACCGTGACGTAATCCATGGTATAGTGCACTTTACCATGGATGACGTCATGCGATCGATCAAGATCAATGTGCTATCGGTCGCGGTCGCGGTATTGGTCGAGAAAATAGTACAAACTTTATTTGCGATTTGTTTTGTTAACGTGAAAATATAATTGTTATAGTTTATGTGAATATTTTTCATCTGTAAATGTGTAACTTTAGTTGTAACCTTGTATGTAAATGTAAAAGTTTACTTGCAAATGTATTTAGACATATGTGCAGCGATGCAGTACCTGTAGTTGGCGGAGGATCCAAACCTTGGATAACGGCGGCTACGGGGGAGCGGAGGTCAGGTCGGCACCAATGTTTCTGGCTTCTGTACAGCGATTGAAGGATTTGGCCGCCCACCATTATTAATTGGTCACGTTTGTCATCTTGAGAGTACAAAATCAACAAATCAAGTGGGTATCGGAAGGTGGAACCCGCAGGCCAGAAGATACGTCAAGAGCTACTGCGGAAGAGAGAGGTACTGCTCGTAGTACGCTTGCGGGTGATGACGGATCAGGATCAAAGCCTCTTGCAGGAAGTTCTTTTCTTGAAGGTCCCATGATGGAAAGGAACAGCACCCCTCTGAGGGAACCAATCAATGTAGCCACGTGGAACGTGTGTGGTATGCCAGATGGGAAGGTGGAAATGGTGGAGAAGGACATGACTATAAATGATATTAAAGTTTTGGGAATGTTGTTGTTGTGTTTTGAGTTATTGGCGATTAGTAATTTGACTATTGAATATCTGAATCATGGTGGCTTGGACAAGGCAGATTTACATCAGACGAAGGAAATCCAATCATCTTTTCAGGGAAAGAAAGTGGAAGGAAGCGAGGGGTGTGGGATTCATCATAGAGAAGGCTACAGCTAAATGTGTCTTGAGATACAACCCGATCAACGAGAGGATTATGACTGTGAGATTACAGGGGCATCCTATGAATATCTCCATAATTCAGGTATATGCACCAACAGCAGATGCACCGGAGAAAGAAATCACTGATTTCTATGAGATGGTACAAGGTGTCGTAGACAGCATTCCTAAGAAAGATTTCCTCATAATATTTGGTGACTGGAATGCCAAGATTGGTATTACAAGGGAAAAATCTGAGTTCATTGGCAATTATGGTCTTGGCATCAGAAATGAAAGAGGAGATCGACTGGAAGAATTTTGTGTAGCAAACAGCTTCATCATTGGTAACTCGTAGTTTGAGCATCATCCCAGAAGACTGTGGACGTGGATGAGTCCGGGAGACAGAGCCAGAAACCAGATAGACTACATCATGGTCAAGAAGAGGTGGCGGACTTCACTACAGAACAAGACAAGACCAGGTGCTGACTGTGGCAGCGATCATCAGCTGCTTGTGGCTAAACTGAGACTAAGGCTGAAAGCTAAGAAATGTGATTCAGCTCCCACAAGGTATGATGTTGAAAATATCCCTTCTCAATTCTCAGTGGAAGTGAAGAACAAGTTTGAGCTGCTGTTGAGAAACGATGAAGCAGAGCAAACACCAAATGAGCTGTGGGAAGACATGAAAAAACAGTTGAAAACACAGCAAAGAATCACATCCCAAAGAAAAGGAAGCGAACAAATCAGACTTTCGACATGGCTGATGACAGGAAGAGGGCAAAAGCAAAACGCAATAGAGGAAAATGGACGAGACTCAATAAGGCGGTTACAAGTAGTGTGAAGGAGGACAAAAGGAAATACATCGAGGGGAAGTCAGAAGACCTAGAGTGTTACAAGAACAACTCCAAGGCAGCATTTGCAATTGTGAAAGAAATCACAAAGAAAAGAGTCCCAAGACTGCATGTAATAAATGATGAAAATGGCAAAAACACTGACGGATAATGAAGACATCAAGGAAAGATGGGTGCAGTATGGTACCAAGCTGTTTGCTGCACAGGAACACATTGACACTCAGTGTGAGGAAAGTGATGAAATGGAGCCCCCTCGATTAAGATCAGAAGTGGAGCTTGCAATGAAACAACTGAAGGATGTCAAGTCCCCTGGCTTTGACAACTTTACGTCCGAGATGTGGAAGGCTACAGGTGAAGAAGGTACTGACCTGATGTGGCGTCTCTGTTGCAATAGTAGGGAGTGGCCTAAGGACTGGTGTAGAGCTGTTTTTATACCATTGCCAGAGAAGGAGATCTGACAGAATGTGCAAATCACCGAACGATCAGCTGGATTTGTCATGCAAGCAAAATACTTCTGAAGGTGATTAGCAGAAAAATGAAAATCAAACTGCAAGCCGAGATCTCAGATGAGCAATCAGGGTTCCGTGAAGGTAGAGAGACAAGAGAACAGATTGTCAACATTCGAAACATATTAGAGAAGTGCAGAGAACACAAACATCCCCTCTATTTGTGCTTTATAGATTATAGCAAACCATTTGACTGTGTGGAATACAATGGCAAAGACGGGGTTCCCAAATCACATCATCGAACTGATCAAAAACCTCTATCATGACCAAGAAGCAACAGTGAGAACCAGTAACGGCAATACTAAGGGGTTTGGATTGGGCAGGGGAGTACGCCAAGGCGACTGTCTCCTAATCTTTTTGGTGTCTGGACAAGGAACGAAAGGTGCAACACAAATGGCAGATGAAAGAGTTGCATGGCGTGCTCTCGTGAAGGCCACAGCAGCGCTTTACAGCGCCACCTGAAGTTGATGATGATGATGATGATGAAATTTATTTTGTTATTTTGTATAAAATGTTATAAATTATGTACAATTTTCTATATGAGAGAATTAATTAAAATCCTATGAAAACAAAAACAAAAGTCGTCTGCGCTACTCTCGCTGCACTCTACACTACTTCAGTGACAGTTAACATTATTATTATTATTACTTTTTATAAAGGTTGGTTTGAAAAATATAAAACAAATATATCATGCATTATTTCAAGCCACGTGTTAAAATTATGGATTCCTCGGCGACAGATATGGCACCTCGACCCATAATTTCAACTAGAGCCTCTCAGTGCATGGTATATTTGTTTACTATTTTTTTCCTGGGCAGAACTGCGCATGCTCTCTTTGATATTTACTTCCAAGTCACTACTGCGCATGCTCACTGTTATGACAAAAATTTGTGTCAAATTCGAACGCACAGACGAACAGCTGAGCGAGTCCTTACGGCGCCGGGCTTACAGGGATTACAGCTGATTTTCTTTAATTCGATCCATAACAAATAAGGTATTTTCATCATTTGCAAGGCAAGATATCATACAATAAGTTGGTACCATTTCACAATTCAGAGGATATGCTCTCAAAATGAAGATTTTTAATTATTTCCAAACCCTTGTTGGCAAGTCAATAGTTTTTTTTCGGAACGGAGTGCAAATGACTACAAAATTTGGCGCTAGTTCAGGAGTCTATCCAAACTTGGACCCGTAGCGCCCGTATCCCATCGGACGGTATGCAATTGAATTGTGCTGCAGTTCGCCATGAATCCCATGAGAAAGTGCATATTATAAGTCTTCGTTTTTAAGGAAAAATGCTTCGAAAAAGATAAGAAAATTGATACAAAAACAGGTAACAAACATATGACTTTTAAATCATGACCTTTTTTTTGACATTTGATGAATATTTACTTCATTTTGGGTATGTTTTAGTAGGGTATCTCCACGCCGGAGTTACGGCTCAAATTTTGGATAGACTTCTGAAATAGCGCCCAAAATTTGCCTATCTTTTGTCAATATTTTCATAATTTCATACCCAATACCGTCACTGGGTAATTTTAGATTTTTCTTTCTATTGGAGATATCTGATTTTCGAAATCTTACCGATTTTTAGAGATGGCGAAGTTAAGTCACGCACATGATGATGTGACCACATAGTTTAACTATGGTCACACCAGATCATACGGACTGCTCTTAACGTTGCCGCCTGCAGTATCGGCGCAAGTCGCCGGTACTTTAGCCCCGCGCTATATAGCGCTCGATCCAGATCAGCTGGTAGCTCATCGGTTCGGATCGTTAAAAAGGGATATAAAACAAATATATTAAGCATTTAATTCGTAATAATAGTGGAAAAGTTATATCTTCTGAGGGACTGGCAAAAGTTACTATCTTTTCCTCGGGGCTTTGCATGCCCCTCGGAAAATATAGTACTATGCCAGTCCCTCCTCAGATAAATAATTTCCATTATTCTTTCTCACAGCTTGGTATATTTGTATATTATACGAGCAGCTAGGTTATAACTTTAAAAGATGACTTTGTATTACGTCTCCCCAACATATTTTAAATAAATACTTTTCTACCCGATTTGATAGATGTTCTGAACGTTTGGTTAACGGTCTAAGTGTTAGACTGTAATTGCTTCCAGGCATGGGATTATCTGTAAGTGCTTGTGTAAAGTATAATGTATTGCCGTTAGGTCTGTGTAGGCCTACATCTCAAGCAGGTATCCGAGTAAACGGAGCACTGAAAATAGAAATCCTTTTTAAAAGGATTTCTATTTTCTATTTTCTACTGATCAGAGTTAAATATAATATTTTATGGATCGCTTAAGGATCCGTTTTTGTTACGGAACAATGGATGTGAAATTAGTATCTGAGTAATTGATATTTTTTTCAACTGATGTTTCGTTACAGACCATATTATTATACAGCCATCACAAATGTTCCAAGTGATATTTTTGTTACTGGTGAGATTTCTTTCATTATTATTATTATTATTATCATTATCACTATAATATTTGTATTATTCATTAGGCAAAGACAAAACCGACAGAACAATAAACACAGAACAGCAAGTAAGGTTGGAAAATAGTCTCATGGATACCGGGAAAAGAAAAATATTACATAAATTGCTACAACCCGAAGGTCTTCTTTTCCAATCCATGTGTCTTTTCATGAATAAATAGCAAAGAATAGCACGGTACAACGAGTAATGAATTGCAAGTACAAGAGAAAAGAATCTACTTTAGTATTAGTTACTGTTTCAATGATTTTTCTTCTTTTGATATTAATTTTGCAATACCTTTGACTAGTTTAATAAGTAATCTAAAATTAATGTATTTGTATAAAATAATGTACATGTATTAGTAAATAATTAGAAAGAAGGAATACAAATAGTTGTTGGGTTTTTTAAACGCTAAAATCATCGTTCACTTTGCTCCCTCGCAATGTTGCGTCAGGTTTCATTCTTATTTTTGTGCCCAAATATATGAAACATGGAAGGCGTTTCGAAAGGGTTCAACATCTGAAGAAAGATCTGAAAGAAATCTTCATTGTCGGGAAATTTATATATTCGTTGAAAAAAATACCCCGCATATTTCGTCAAATTTTGCGCCCTATAATAAGGAATAAAGGAATACAAATGTCTTATCAATGTTAACAATTCGAAAATCTACCGTTCGATTGCTGCGGTTACTAGCAAATTTCCTTATGGGTAGAATGCATACACAAATTGCTCGTACTTTAACCTGAGTAAACAATCCCGAGATACGCTACTGGTAGTTGCAACATTTTACCTTGCCTTTAGGACTTCACCAGAAATATTCCATAATAAGGCAGTTATAGAAATGAAAAGGGTAACGTCATTTATGTCGTAAGTTCATATTACCGAACTTATCAAAGGGAACCATGCAACTAAGTTCGAAATAGGACAAAGTGTAATTTAAGGGGAAGTATTACTAAAATTTACGGCACTCATTTATAATTTTGTATTATCTAATGTTTTCTCCAATCTCGACGTTTCATTTAAACAAAGCGGGTGACTCAAAGAGACAACACCTTCTATCTGATGGCTCGACTTATCTACCGCGCTGTGAACCAGGAATGGACACGCCTTTGACAGAAGGATACTGGTGGAACAAGACTTGGTTCTCGTTAACTTGTGGTCCTCGTGTCCCTTTGAACAAGGCCAATGTACAACATTGTCTTCACGACACCAACATCTACCTCACCGGTGATTCGACCACAAGGCAATGGTTTGCCGCCATCACCGAGGCCCTAGGGTTAGGACAACCGGAGGATCATGAGCGGGTTTTCCTGCTGCAGAGACGTGAAAAGACAGCAAATCTTAACCTTACTTTTATCTTCCATCCTCTCACGGCCCATCCCCAGAATATCTTTGTCAATCTCTCGACGGTCAAGTTTGAAGCTGATGTTATTCTCGATTTGCCACGTCATACCTGTAGGAATGTTGTCGTGTTCAGTCCCTGGGCACATTTCTGTTTTTGGCAGTGGGAAGCGTACACAGACTGGTTGAAGGGCATCAGGGCAGCCATTTTGGTTGCCATGCAGAGATGTCCAGATCTCCTTTTTGTTTATAAAAGTCCACATCCCAGAGACGAGTGGTCGGCGTTCCATGCGCGAGACATCGTCTTCAATGAGATGAGAGCTCTTGTCAGGGATGTTTTTAAAGGTCTTGGTTTAATCTTCGTTGATATATGGGATATGAACCTAGGAAGTCCATGGCCTATTGCATTGCATATGCCCAAAGACGTCATCAATCAGGAAGTTTCTGTATTGTTGTCTTACTTGTGTCCATTGCTACAGAGCAGGGACAAGATAAAAACAACGGTATAGAGATAAACAGTTCTCATTTCCCGTCAGAGAGTGATGTAAATGATTATACATTTAGTCAAACAAATTTGAAAATCGTGCAAGCAGAGGCCTATGCTTCTATCATTAAGGCGCTTGATCAGTGCTTGCAATGTGCAAATCCCTTTTTCTTTTCCTCTGCCTTAGTCCCTCCTTTTCTCTGTCTTTTGTTTTTGTCATGATGCTATATATATATATATATATATATATACATATATATATATATATATATATCGAAACCAGTTCCATGTGATGGGTGTATGCCCCGTTGACACTTGCCCGCATTTTGGTTTGCGCATAGTTTGCGCACAGACACATACTCTTGCGTGCCAATGCGGGAAGTATTCGTGGTAGCGTGCGGGAAGATGCGGGCGGATGCGGGCCGTGCGTGAAATGCGTGATAGAATTTTCAAAATGTTCAAATTTTTGGCACGACAATTTTGTTTGGCAACGTTCGTGGACACTTCGTGAACTATGCGCACCCTATGCGCTACCTAGTCGTATGGCCTAGTGGCAAGCAAGTTCACGACTAATTTGCGCACAATTTGCGCATTGGCTGCGCATACTTCCCGCGCAGTTTTCACACGCCATGCGCAGAGTCTACAAATGCGAGTCCTGGTGGTTACGCATTGCGTGAACTATTCGTACATTAGACGTGACCCTGCGTGCCACTAATTGGCACGCATTGGCACGCCACAGAGCGGGGCAGTGCGGGACCAAAATGCGGGCAAGTGTCAACGAGGCATAAATATATACAAATGCAAACATATAGAGGGGTTCGATAATCGCCTTAAGTGCCAAACGTGCCTTAAAGCCCCACTGTACTAATCTTAGCTGCTTGCTCCCTCTATACAGTGCGCCCCCCCCCAAAAAAAAAAACGAAACCGAGAATTTGGGAGGTCAACTGATAATAATTAATAATGTTTTTTCCAACTCGAGAGGTGTTGCTGTTCTATTCAAACTAGGTCTAAGTGCGATAGCTCAGTCGGTAGAGCAGTGGTCTTGTAATCCGGTGACCCGGGTTCGAAACCAAGGCGATGCGCTAGCGCCCTTTGGTTAATGCATTAATCCTCATTACCAGGTCCCTCGGAGAGGACCTAAAGCCGTCGGCCGTCTGGTTGCTTACTTACCAGCAATTTATGCTTTCTTAGCAGTCAGTTAGAACAACCACCACCATTCATCAACAAAGGAAAAAAATCTCATATGTTCTCTGATAATGATGGTAGATATATTATTTTAATTGTATGCATTGGTGATTTACATTCAAATTTCAAATAGTTATGCACCTAACCAGGATAGCCCTAAGTTCTTTTCGGACCTTTTTTTTAATTTGAAGATCATGATTGCATGAACTTAATTATGGGTACTGATTTGAATATAGTAGTTGGTCCGTTGGACTATAAGGGCTTCTGTTCACTCCAGTCTAATGTTAAGGCAAGATAATTTGTCTGGCGATTATTTCATCCGAGAGAAAAGGCATACACAAGACATCAACATTACCTGTCGCCCTCTCTAGACTAGATTATTTGTACGTCTCAAATAATATTTTGTCAAATGTAGTTAGCTGTTCAATCTCGAATGGTTTAGCTTCTGACCACTCCATTGTATCATTGAATTTTCCATTATGTACCCTCGAAAGAGGTAGAGGTTACTGGAAATCAAACTGTAGTCTGTTACAGAGAGATGCCGGATTCATCAAATATATTAAAACTAAAATTTAAGATTATATATCAATATAACTGAAATGATAGCATTTTGGTTTAATTAAATCGTGTAAACGTGTTCTACAATATTAAAGAGCATTTGATTATTTTGGATTGTATACGTCAATGTTAAGATAATTTGCTAAATACAATAGATCCCCCCCCCCCTCCACAAATTTAATTTTTGTTACAGGAAGTGATAGTGGGATGGAAAGGTACACTAAATTGTATGTATATAAGTTTACTAATACTAATTTTTACCACCCTTGTATATAGGTTTAAAAATATGATTGAATTATTTGTTGTTGTTTTTTGCCTATATACAACTTGGCAATGCAATATTTTTTAAATATTTATTTTATCGTATTAAAGAATGTTTTAATACATAGAAAACCCGTATTTCATGTAGGGTAGGTGTAGGGAATTGGAGACCCTTAAGCACATTTGCATAATTTACATAAACATAAAAACTGTTATACACATACAGAAAGCTTTGTATTCTCTTCAGTAACTTCTTCTCTATATTTGGTAACAAAATTGTGGTCATGATGTAACTGATTAATAAGATAACATTGATTAATGACGTCATCACCAAAGGTCTCTCATTACCTACATGTGTAGGTAATAAGGGACAGTAACAAATCAAGACATTTTAAGTACAATTTGAATGAAAATGGGATTGTTATACTTAGTTCAAACACTTTTTAAACGAGATGAAACGATTTTAAAACAATGAGGCCTACTTGGGATATTCCCAAAACCTGTTTTGTATACAAACAAAGGTTTACAGTCTATATGAACCAGCTCGCTGATCTCACATATTTATTCATATTGTCCAGAAACCTCGTGAGTCTTTTCATTCTATAGTACATCCCAAGTTGGCCACCTAATATTCAAATGTGCAACTTCATTTTTATCTTCATATATCAAATTGAAATCCAACTACATTGTACCACATACATTTGTGAATCTTGATGTACACCCCCTCTTTCTTTTTTTCTTCTTCTCTATCTCTCTCTCTCTCTCTTTCCCCTTTTACCAATATTTTTTCCCCCGGACCAGAATGAGAAAAGGCTCTATCCCCCCAGTAACAGACGTTGTTAAGCCACTTTGGTCGGTCCTAGAAATCTTCAAAACTTAAAAAAAATCAGTTATTTTCTCGGAATTTGAAAGAATGTTTGGTTGTCCCAAGGACTATCAAAATTCAATATGTATAAATGTCTTCCTATTGTGTACCAGACTCTACATATATTGCTGCAAATTTATGAAAGACATTCCAAATTTTCGTGGTCTTATATCTTTGATAAAAAATGAAGTCTAAATCTTAAATATGTAATTGCAGCTAAGCATGACAATATATATATATATATATTTAAGTTGTAATGGACTTCATGATGTTTTTGTCATTTCACATTCCTGTACATGATTGTAAATAGCCAGTTGGCTTTTACATTGTTTTTACCTTGCCTGTTATATCTATATATTTCGAAATTTCGTACTTATTTTCCGTTCATTATACTTGATTTGAAATCTTTAATTTAAAAAAAAAAATTCTTGAGTGAAATCTACTCTTATACGCCTGTATATACAAATTTAAAACAGAACGAATTTAAACTGTTTTTTATGTAAAATGTGGAATAAATAAACTTCAATTTCAACTTCATGTTATCCTTGTGTACCCAATTAAAAAAAAGAAACACACAAAGAGAATGGGTGGTAAGGATGATCAGTCTATGGAGAGTCGGAAAGGGCGGTTGTCATGGATAAGATACAGGACAGAGGAGTGACTCATTTTAGGGGAAAGTAAGGCGTCCATTAGAAAGGTTGGGAGAGATGGAAGATTTAAGGTAACTGATGGGAGAGGAAGGTGATTATAGATGGAAGGGGTGTGGTAAAACCTTGATAGAGTACAGAAGATAAGATTGAGGATGGCAGAGATGTGGGTGGTGAGATGGAGAGGGCGAAGGGGTTGGGGTGAGATACTGAAGAAAGGACATGGGAGAGAGATAGGGGCGGAGTGGGGGACACGAGACAGAAAGAAGAGAAAGAGAAACAACGATATTGAGGCAGACGTGCGGCAGGCTATGAAAGAAGAGTTTGTAATTTACATAATAAGTGAGTTGATTGATTAATTAAATAAACTGCTATCTCACTTGGTACATTAGGAGTAACTCCAAACCCCAAGTCAGATGACTGTAGATCACTAGATTAGATTCCCTGCCACGGTCTTAACGTTCCTTGGCAATGAGGCAATAATCTACCCAGGTGTACATTATTTTTGGCCAAAAATTGACGATTTTTTTAATTAAAAAGTTACCCTTGGACCCCTCTAGGTTGACAAACATGGGTCAAACATCAACCTAACGACATGTGGGGGATCCATCGTGAGCAAAGAAACACAAATATTAAAAAAAAAAAAATTAAATTAAATTTTTATTTATTTATTAAATCGCAAAAAGCGATAAACCAACCCTTTGCGATTTTTTTCTTCAAATTTTCAAACAGCTGGGGACACTCATAGTGAGCAAATGGACCAAATATATATATTTTTTTCGCGTACAAAAATGATATCTCACATTTTCCCCAACTTGCCTCTTTAGAACAAACTTTATTGCTTGTCCTAAACATGAACTGTATGCAATTCGCAATCTGTCTATTGAAATACAATAAATCGTAAGAGCTGAATGGAATAATTTGTAACGAGGCAATTAACAAAGATTTGTGCATTAAGTTTCCCAAATTTATCAAAACTTACCCAAAGACGCTTAAGTTTAGGTGATTAACAGGGGTCACAATCAATTACCCGTAACAGGTGAATTACCTATTTGGTCTATTGCTTTAGCTTCTCCCCTAAGGCAAAAAAGCGGAAATTATTCTGGGACCACTCAAAATTGCCAATCAACGATAACAACAAAACAGACCTTTATAGGTACCGTTTTTATTATTTTTTTTATTTTTTATTTATTTGATTTCCAGGTACATGTATAAACAAATGTATAAATAGAAATGACAACACAAAGCACATAACATGAAAGAGTTACAAGACAGTGACAATGCCACCAGCGAACGCCTGAGGATTGCCTTAAAGAATTTCCATTCTGTCATGAGGTTCTCCACGTCCACTGATGTTACATCTGAATATATTTAAAAAGTAACGGTAAAATAACATAACATAATTCAATTTAATGTAATTCATTTAATGTTATACCTTTCCTTCCCCCCTCCCCCCCCCCCCCAAGCCACTGAACGAACGAATTCTTTGACGACGTAATTTTCCAATTT